GGCGCCGGGAGGTGAGGACTGCGGAGGATCCTAGAGCCTGCGCGCCCCAGGGGCGGTTGGAAGGGGCCCTGGCCGGGTCCCGGGGGACGCTGGCCGGCAGGGAAGTTCCTGGATCCGGGAAAGTTGCTGGCGGGAGGCCCGCTCTCCCCCTACCGGCCGCCGCCTTCTGGATGACCTTGGGCCTGGGAGCCCTGGCCTCAGTTTCCTCGGCTACGAGGAGGGGTCCGAGGTCCCTCAGACCGTGAACTTCCAGGAGGCGTGACCTTCCAGGAAGAGGGGTGGTGTTCCGTCCGTGGGTCCATCTGTGTGTTTTGGAGTGGGAGCCGCCTCCTGCCCCCGGGCTAGGGGTCGAGGGCTGGGCGAGCGAGTGCGTGGCGTCCGCGGAGATGCCGACTCGGCCAGAACGCCAGCCTGGGGCTGGTTAATGATTCATCCCCGGCCCGCCCGCTCTGGATTCCGGGACCAGCGGCAGGCGCTTCTTGGCTTGTACCTACCCTGGTTGCAGAAGTGACAATAGGAGCCAGATCCTGGTGGCGGGATGGCGGGAGTCCGTGGTATCACCGCACGACCCTTGGGACCCAGCCTTCGCTGCCCTCGCCCCCGGCCAGGGCGAGCGGCGGGCCCAGGACGGGCTGTCTTTCGGGCGTCCGTAGCCCGTGGTTGCTGATGCGCTAGGCCGAGGCAGGACCGTGTTGAGGGAGTCGGAGAAGCTGAGATTTGCTGAGGAGAGGGGGAGAGCGTGGGCGGGTTAGAGCCTGGGGAGATGGATTTGCTGAGGGCAGAGGGCCGAGGAGAGGGGGGAGAGCGTGGGCGGGTTAGAGCCTGGGGAGATGTTAGTGTCTCGGGTCCCAGACTAAAGACAGTGGCTCTCTTGAGAACACTGGGTTTCTTTTCCCGCACCTGCTATGAGGAAGGGCCTAGCCTGGGAGGCCCTCTCCAGGTTCGCTGTGGCTTCTCTGCAGACTTAAGCCAGGCCGGGCGATGTTCCTCATCTGCCTGGGCTGGAGGACACTCTCTCCAGTGCCCATTCCCTTTCCTTGGTGAAAAACTGATGGTGGGAGTAGAGGGATGACAGGGCTGTCAGGCCCAGAAGAGCAGGTGTGTGCCAGGTGCGGGAGGAGCAGGAGTGGGGTTGGGCACAGGTGGAGCCTGCAGTGAAGCTCTGGCAGGAGCTGCTGACATTCCCTCCTGGCACTGACAGCCACCACCCGCTTGCCCTGGGCAAGGAAGGAGCCCCGTGGGAGCTGGGTGGAGGCAGGCCAGGACAGCCACCCTCGGCTTCAGGGACAACACCTGATACTTCTAGCCATGACTGCTTGTGCCGAGCCTGGGGTGAGTGCTACGGGCTGGCATCAGCTCCACAGGCCTGGGCAAGGGATCGAAGTAAGGGCAGTGCCAGTAGGACGTCCTATCTGAGCAGGAAACGCCCCTCTCCACCAGTCACACAGACAGTAAAAGTGGGGAGACCAAGGCACAGGTCTGGATGCAGAACTTAGTCTTTTGTTCTGCCCCACTCTGGTCCTTGGGGTGCTGCCATGCTCTTTTGGGGCTGCCAACTTGGTGGGGTCCCTCTGTCCCCAGGTCTGTGCCTTTGTGGCCCCTTTCTGGACCCATTATTCTTTTAGGAAGTCCTACCACCCTTTTCTCCTGGGGAGCTCCCACCCCTGACCCCTAAGAACCCACAGCCAGAAGCAGCCAGGCGTGTATGCAGGGGGCTTCTTGGAGGGGTGAGGAGCAATGTTGGAGGAGTTAGCGGGTAGGGTGTAGGGTGGAGGTGATAGGGGTCGCTCTTCAGCAAAGCCACCGGGTGAGCTCCTCTTCTTCTGGGTCCTTAGGGCCCCTAGATGAGAGGCTGCAGGGGTGGTCTCCCTCTAAGGATGTGGGGTCAGGCCTCCAGCACCGAAGTGGGCCCTGGCTCCATCTACCTTGCTACCCTAACTCCCTCCCCTCTCTAGGTGAGGAGTGGGGTGAAGTACTGGCTTGGAGTAGAAGGAGCCTGGAGGCTGGAGGACCAGGGCTTCATGTCCTGTCCCACATCCATTGCTCATTCCAGAAATCAGGGGTTTGGTGGTGGTGGTGGTTGTTTTCTTTTTTTGCTTTTGAGCCGGAGAACCACACTTTTTGTGCCATCATGTCCCCTTCCATTCCGGCTCAGGCAGGTAGACCTGCTTTAAGGGCTGCTGAAAGTTCTCGTTTAGGACTGGAGTGGGCAGAGCTCTCAGGGGCTTTGGATGTCCAAGTGGAGAAACCAAGGCCTTAAAGGAGTGAAGCCCCTGCCGTCCCTTCTGCCTGTGCTCTCTGTGATGACAAATCTGTGTCCGGGGGGTGTTACCCCAACTCTGGGCCTGATGCTGTCCCTGAAGTAAGGTCAGTCTCATGCTGAGCCCCTCTGCCAAAGACCTGTGAATACTCCCAGCAGGGTCCCACCAGGGGTCAGGGGGAGTGTCACGCACATAGGCCTGGGGTCCATCACCCTGGGTGGATTCCCTGGGCTGGGTGGCAGTGGTAAGGGTTCTAAGAGGCCTGGGGACCATTTTCAAGCTCTTAGCAGTTGGAGTGGGCTGGAGGGTGGAGGGCAGAGGGCTTTGCCCTTACACCACCCACAGGGGCTCCTTGGTACTCTGGCCCCAGGCCCACCTGTCCCCACCATCTCTGGTATGTTGCAGCTGCAAATGCCATGTCTTGCAGTAGGAGGGCCCTCCCCACTTCACCTCTACCCAGCCTCCCAGGGACAGTGCCTGGGACATCCTGGTAAGGGTGGGGACAGGGGCCTGCTTCCGGCCTAGAGTTGGCCCTGCACTCAAAGGCATCTGCTATTGCTGCTGCGGCCAAGGCCAGGCGTGGCTCATGCTTGTTACGGGGAGCCACTGGCAGTGGCCACCCACAGGTGGATTTTTGGTGCTTCATTCTACAGACCTGTCCTCTGGCTGCTGAGTATCAGGTATGGGACTGAGGACCCACACACGGCCCCTGCTCTGTCCTCTGAGCCTCAGGCTCCTGAGGTAGACAGGGCAGGAACCATGCTGCCCCTGGAATGGCTCTGGAACTGGGGCTGACCCACACTTGCTCCCTGCTGGCACTGAGAACCTGAGCCAAGATCTTGCCCACTCAGTTGTCCCTGGGTGTATTAGGGGAGAGTGATGCTAAGGCTGCTAGTCTTGGAGTTCTACCCAGGATGTGAGTGTGGGGACATCTGGGAAGGGAAGAGGCGCTGTCCTCAGAGTTCCTTCGCAGCCTGGGGGGCAGGGCAAGGGGGAGGTCAGGACCCTGGCCAGTGGGCCTGTTCTGCTGCCCCTCCAGGGGGCTCCAGGAAACAAATGAGCAGGGGTTATGGGTGCAGACTCCAGCCTGTCTCCATTGGCCACCATGGCTCCTTGGGACAAGCAAACAATACCCCAGAAATAAACTTGGCCTGTGTTTGAGATAGGGACTAGTGTTTCCTGAGTGACTGCTGTGCGTGAGGCTATGTGCTTGGAAAGAGACAGACAGACTGACAGACAGACACAGACAGAAGTGGGAGACAGGGAGGGAGGAAAAGGCCTGTGAAATTGCCACTCCTGGCTTTCATGAACCCAAACATTACTCCAGAAGCCACCCAGCTCCACGTTATCACACAGCCCAGATTTGCCTCTGCTGCCTTCAGACTGTGACCCTGGCAAGTCAAGTAACTGTTCTGTGCCTCGGATTCTCCATCTGTGAGATGGAAGTAACCATGGCGTCTCACAGAGGTAAAAGAGGTGACTGAAGTATGCAGGAGAGCCGTGCCTCTGACACAGTGCTGGCCGTCATCGTTATTGTGAACAGTCGTGCCTCTCCCCCATCACTCCCAGTCACCAGGTAATGTCCTCTGCCAGCGTCAGGTTTTGCAGGTACCCAGAGCACATCCATGGCTCCCTGAGGCGGCCTGCAGAGCCGAGGGGGAAACCTGAATACCTGTCACATGGCTATGGTCTCCCAGACGCCTACCCGCCAGTGTCCAAGGCCCAGCTGCTTCATGTCTGAGGACCCTCCTGGCCTGGGTGGGGCTGGTGCCCAGAGGGCCCCAGGACACAATGAGGGCCATTCTCAGAGCCAGGCAGGGCCTGCGGGGCAGCCCTGTCTCTCTCTGGCGTGCAACAACCAGGGTGTTGTTCTGAGCGGGCCTGGTTGGCAGGCCACTGCCTGGGAGAGTTGGCATTGGGCTGGGGGTTCTCTGGTTCCCCCTCTCGGGGAGAGCAAGCCCCAAAGGGCCTTCTGGCTTCCTCAGACGTGGCCATGCTGCTCCCGGGGAGGGCAGGTCACCACCTTCTGCAAGGAGGGCTTCTGCCTGAGCCCGTGCAATCTGGGCCAGGCCTGGTGCCCATGTGTGGGGGTGTTACATGCTGAGGGAGACAGCCCCTCTCATCCTGGGCATCCGGGTTGGAGGCCATGAAGTGGGCAGTAAGACAGCATATTAGTCAGCACTTCCGTGGTGGGGGGGCAACAGGGAGTGGGTGCCCAAGGAGAGGCCCGGGGTCCTTCCTGGAGGGGTGCCATGAGTCACGTCCTGAAGAAGGAGTAGGACAGCTTGCGAGGTTTCCTAGAGGCAGAAGCGAGGTGGCCAGAGGCTCAGGGCAGGCCGGGAGCAGTGCCAGTGCTTTGACGCAGCGTTTGCCTGACGGCCATGGCGTGCTGGCAGGGCGCTCCTACAGGCGGTCACCGCGGTCCCCTTGCGAGTGTGTCGGCGAAGCACCTGATTGCCTAGCTGTGGAGGCCGCGAAGCCAGGCTCTGGGAGAGCTGG